GGTTTGGAGTTGCCGTTGACCTTGGTAATGGCCTGCCTCTGCCCAACGCCAGGCTGCCCGTTACCCCGGAGCCTGGGGAAAGAGCACCTCCCGTCCTGTGTCCACCTGGGGTCCTCGGTTTTCTTTTCATGGCGACTTGTGGGCAGTGAGACGGCAGGAGGAGGGAAGAGGCACGGCCCCGGCCGCCCTTCAGCGCGGTCCGCGCAGGGCTCGGCAGGTCTCCCTCGGGGGCACGCTGGCCTTCTGGGTCTGGCTTCCTGCCGGACAGCACGCACGGATGTCAGTGACCGTGTGCCCGACGAGTCAAGGAGCAGGCAGAGCCAGGCTGGCTGTGCCATTTCCCACAGCGACCGAAGGGACACACTTGCCGTTATTGCACAGATGCTGAAGCCAGGCCCGGGCCAAGCTTCTCGAGGATCGGGGAGGCGGGGAGAGGGGCCGCAAGGCTCCGGAACAGACCGGCCCACGAATCACCGCTCCCTCCTTACCAGCTGATCAACCTGGGGCAAGCAGTCGACTTCACAAAGGTCCACCTGTTCCATCCTTAAAACAGTGCGGGGGGACATTTGCGTCATGGAGAAACTGAGGTCATCTACCTAATCCAGGTGCTCGCCGTGACGAAATGAGGCCACCTGTGTCCGAACTCAGCCCAGTGCCTGTTCACCGCTGTGCAGACGGTGCCACCTGCACACAGCCGGCCAGGGCTCGGGTCCGCTCACTCAGCTCCCCCGGCCCCGTGACCAGCCTGGCTCCCGCCGCACGGACCCTCACCCCTCCCACTGTCTTCCGGTATTTTCCTTCCTCTCCTTCTCTGCCTCCCTAACAGCCTAGCCCCATTCCCCTGGTCATCAGTCCGTTGCCTGGTTCCTCTGTCTTCCCCCAAATAACATTTCCCTTTAACCTTCTTTCTCTGAGCCATGGTGCTGGGGTTAGAGAATAAAAGATGAACATCTTAGCAAACAAGCAAGAGAGAAAGAAGCCGCCGTGACACAGAGAAGGACGTCCCACAACAGAGTGACGTGCCAGGCGCTGCGTGAGCCTGGAGGGAGAACATCTCCCTGGGACCCGCCGCATCTGAGAAGACGCTGCTTAACACTCACAGCGAGAGGACTTTAAGAATCTGAAGTACATCAGTGCCTAAATAAACATCGCTTGATTGCTTGAGGGAGTAACTTGTTAGATTCGTGGAAATAAAACTAACACGAAAAAGTAAGCCTGCCTCTTGGAAACTTGCTTTTGTTTCTTTCTACTTCACATGGTCGAAAAGATGGCATTTCTAAGTATCTTCAGTGGGTTTTTTCCAACCAATCCTTTCTCTTTGGGTTTTATCTGTCTTTCCCAAAATACAATGGAAACGATCACATATTTTACGCCTTTATTTTATTCTAGAGAGATGTTTTGATTAATCGCAGATTTCTGTGTGTTGGGAAACTGTCTAAAGGATAGGTATTTTAAGTTCTACCTCATTTTTGATTAAACATTTTCATTTTCAGCAAGGACTGAAAGATCAAAAACAATGTCCATTAGAATACCTGACGCGCATTCAGCCCCACGTGGGATTTACCCGTGCACAACATTTCTCTGCAGAGGAGCACACGATTGAGAGGTCTTTTCATCCGGGTGGTCTCGCAGACAACGCCCGGTAACACACCTCATTCCATTTCATGAGCCCAAAGTGTCTGGCAGCTACTTTGCGGGTCCATATTTGAAAGTAATTACTGTGTGACTTCCAGGGGTGTCCCGTTGCACGCTTTACAGAGAGTCCAGCTACTTGCCCGAATGTTTTAAAAGGTCTTAAGTGAAAGCAAAGCGATCCCGAGTGTATCTCCTTCCCTCTAAATAAAGATGGGAGCCATCCGTCACCAGACCCGCATCACAGGCGCAGCCAGGGTGGGGAGCCCCGCCCAGGCCTCCCGAAGGGGCGAGCTGGAGACGCCGCGATCGCCAAGAGCGGCCGGGGCGGTTAATGATTAGTGCTATAAAAAGTGAGCAATATTTGCCTGGCCGTAACAGTGCTGTGTCAAAGTCGCTTATCTTTCCGGGCAGGTGCCACATTTCTCACAGTTATTAAAAAGTTTGGGGGTCAGGGGGTGGTTCAGGAAGCCGATTTTTTTAAAGTGTCAACCAGCCCAGGTCCTAAACAGCATCCGCGACAAATGCACCATGAAGCAATGGTTTGGCAGGAACGGACTGGCGCAGTGTGTCTACGTTTTCGGCAAACTCCCCAATACCCGGGGAGATCGGTGCATTTGAGTGATGAGCAGTTCGTGTGCCTGTTGTTAATACACCCAAATTCTAGGCACACTTACAGGGCCCTCCCGGGGGGCACCCCGCACAGGGCCCGCCAGAATCCCGGTGTCGCAAGGACCTCAGCCCCTGACTGGCATGTCACAATGATGAGTGTTTTCAGGAAGTTTACAGTGACTGTAACTCATTAACTGAACTTGAACATCATCATGCAATACGGGCCCACATGACATTGTTAAAGGCCTTTCGGGTTTCGGCAACGGTGCCTTGGAAGCCTTAGTTATCCGTCAATCATTGACGAACCCCTTCTGAGATCGGCTAGCGAATCCTGCTCTCTCATTACAAGCGGGGAGGCACGGTGCGGGTGCTCTGGGGAGGTTCTCAGGCGCGCTTGGCGCGCCCGTGACAGTGCAGGACACAGGACGCGGGGACGGAAGGTGCCCGCCTTTGCCAAAAGGAAATGGTCCCCTTGTGCCTTGACTGCGAAAACTAATCACTAAAAACCGTGGTGTGGTCTGGTCCACACTTTCCCCCAGCGCGGTGGGAATGTAAATTCCGAGTTCCGAGCACCTGCGACTTGGGTCGCATGTGAATGGTACCCCAGGCCTCTTTCACAAAAATATGTTCTCGTCCAACAACGCACCGAATGTCTATTCCTATTCGCCTGATAGATAGGCTTCAAAAGACCAAATTAACTCATTAATGTAACGTTTCCTCAGCAAGCCCACCCGCTCCACAGGCAGGTGAGGGAAAGAGTGACAAATAGTGGATGGTGTTCCTGCAAGGTTCTCGCAGGAGTTAGTGAGAGTCTAGGAGCGCTGCCTACCAGCCCTCTATGTTTTTGTACATTTTATAAAATGATTCTGTCTAGTCAGAAGCATATAACAAAGCATGAAATTCAATCATTTTGTTGTTACATGTTTTATGAGCCGTATACAAAGAGTAAGAGGATGAAAGCAAATCACTCGATAATGCCATTAAATTATAAGAACCTTATTAGATCTTCTGAAGGGTGTCAAATGGTATCTGTGACTAACACAAAATATAAAAAAGGAAACATGGATATCTTCCAAAATTCGTTACGGGGGGGTGTCTCTCCCTACGACCCCAGGCACGTGTCCACGCTGGTTTTCCGTGACATCTGGGTATGATAAAGCCCTTTCAGTCATGCCATGTAGCGTTTTCTATGTATTTCCTCATCTATTTCTCACACACACACACACACACAAAACCCACTATTAGAGTCCACAATTTTTGTCATTTTTAGTATGACGAAGTCAAGGCTTAAAGAGGTCAAGCATGACGTTGCCCTATGTCCTTTCACAAATACAAAGGAACAGTTTTTGTATTGTGCCATGTTACTGTTTGACTATTTAAAGAAATAACTGCCAAGGATGGACATTAATGATTCTAATCACCCAAGTCTTTTTAGTTTAAAATACATATTTACTTGCCCAGCTAAAATACTTCACTTCCCAGCCTCACGTGCAGCTAAGTGTGAGTATATGTTGAATTTCTGCCTGGTGAGATGTAAGCAAAGTTTTTATGTGGTACTTCCAGGAGGTACCTTAAAAAGGAGCATGCTTTCTCTCCCCTTCCTCCATACTGCTTCCTGGCAGTGATGGCCGGAACTCCAGCAGCTCTTTTGGAACATGAGGACGTGGAGGATAGTAAGATGGAAGGAACCAGGTTCTGGACAACTTTGTAGCCATTGTGCCATCCCTGGATTGTCTACCTTTGAACTTCTTTTATAAGAGAAAAATTAAACTCTTATGTAAACCTTATTAAACTGTTATTCTGGTGTTTCTATTATATGCAGTCAAATCTAATCCCACAAAATATAATTTTGATGGGGAAAATGCTGTACATAAATATTCTGAGTTTTCCAAATAGAACATCAGGCAAAAAAAAAAAAAAGTTTGCTCCATTAGCAAAATCAAAACAAACAAGAAAACAATATCGGGAAATGCATGTATTGCTCTGAAGGGTCCAGATTGTATCACTTTAAGGAGCAGCAGGGATGTTCACAAACACCCAGAACTGCCCTTGTTTTCTGAGTGACAGTTCCTTCGTGGTGAAGAGCAATCCATGTTTTTCCATGGATTTAAGCAAAGAATAGCTTAAATCATGGAAAATGCATTGCACATTCATCATTTTGCCAGAATTAACCTCAAAGTATAAGTTTTCTTTTATTGGGGGTAGGAAGATAGGCTGCCTTTTCCATCAGCCGAGCGAGGCACAAACAACCTCCCCGGCTTACCCACAGGTCCGACACAAACATTGGGGCAAAACAGGGACAAATAAATAACCCTCCGCTTGAGAGTCCTGCCCGTGAAGTCTCCAAGTGTCAACTCTATCTCTAGTCATCACTTCAAGGATTGATATCTGCCATGTTATCATCTAAAACATATTTACAGAGGTCAGAAGAGCTGCGTCCGCCCCGCTCTGTGCAAAGAGGCGATGACATCAACAGGCTGTGTCACAGGCCCGGGCCGAGTCCGTGGCTTTCGGCCGGTGTGGGGCTTCCTGTGCTGGTGTGATCCCCTGACCCCCGAGCCTCCCAGGCCCCTACTCGGGGCGCCGCGCGGCACCTCTCGGCCTCTGGGTTAATCATTGCCTGGCCGTTATCTGCCAAGAGTCCTTATCTGTTTTGCTGTCACTTTATAACAGGGTCCTCTTATCAACCTGCATAGAGCCATGTGACCACGTCGAGCCTATGACAAGTTTCCATTTTTCTAATTAGACACCATCATGAAACTGGATACATGGTTTACAGCAGGTCACTAATGCTAGAAAAAGTACAGAGTCCAGGGAAAGACTGACTTGGAACTTTCTGAATTCTTGGATTTTTTTTTTTTTTTTCCGTAACTTTCACTACGGGTCCCTGTGGCCGGATGCGTCCTCACGCAAGCCCACAACATTTGACAAGCTGTGCTTGTTTTCATGCCCAATGATTTCTGCTTTACGCCAAAGGACCACCTGTAATTTCATGAAGAATGTCTTCTAATTTGGATTCTGGGGATTTACAAGACTCTCTAAAGCATGGATTTACACCTGTGGGTAAGTAGTCGTTGCTCTACTAAGTATCTATTATTCTGCTCTTATACAGTAGTGTGTGCAATTGAATCCCACTGATGCTTTTACCGTCGCCTCTGTGTCCCCACCGGGCCGCTTAGATGTGCAAAGGCCCACATACATCACACGCTGATCTATTCTGAAGTTCAAAAAAAGCAAATGGATATTTCAAATATTATTTATGATACCTGTTTTGGGGGATCATTCAATGAGCCTAAACTAGCTGGGGAAATATATCCATTTCATCCCTCGTACTGTCTGATCATTTTAATCAGAAATAATAAGCTAAAATTTGGACAAATTAACCATATGGACTGGTTGACCATTGATCAAACTTTACCGGTTGGCTTTCAAATATTTGTGAAGTTTCAAGCCACACCACAGTGCGGTGTCTCATTCACTGCAGATACCATAGAAAATCTTTTGTTCTTCTGGCAAAGAAAGTCATACCCTCCCCCGCCCCCAAAAAAAACTTTACGAGTATTAGTTAAGGATGAGAAGTTAAGGATTACTGTCTGTTAAGGATTACTGTCTGTTTTTCAAAATAATGGCCATGTCATGTTTTTATAAACATGAGTAAGTCCGTAAGGATAATTTTCATCTGAAAAAAAAAAGAGAGAGTCACAAACTTGCTAATGTCCCAGCAAGAATGCCCTGCAGATCAGGAACCAGAGGGGAGGAGTCCCAGAGGGCTGTGGTTGCGGGTCTCTTGGAGGTCCTGTCCCGGCTGGTGAAGGCCTTCCCTGAGCACTTTCCTAGGCTGTCTTGGGGTTCCCTGCGCTTGGAGCCCCAGCTTCCGCGGGACCAGGAGGAAAGCCGAGGCCTGGCCTCCCTCCTGCTCCCTTGATAATCAGCTGACCCCACTGAGTGCAGTGATTGCTTTTTTATGGGCTCGCTACACCCTAGAGTATATCAATGAGGAAATGGTTACCAAAAAAAAAAACAAAACCAAAAACGTCCTGTACTGACGAAAAAGAACACCCAGGAAAGGCACGCAGAGTGCACCAGGAGCTCGATTGCTCGGTGGATAAAAGAAGCCACGAGCACGGGAACGGGGCCGCCAGGGAGGCACGGAGTGACTCCAAGCCGTGTTCGCCGGCGGCCGGTCCCTGCAGGCGGCGGCCGCGAGGGGCGTTGCGCGGGCTCGGCGTCCGGGGCGCGCGGCGAGGGCAGCCGGGGGCGCAGAGGCGGACGGCGCGCGCGCGCGGATCAGGGCGCGCGGGTGCGCGCCGGGCGGAGCCCCGAGACCTCACAGGCCGATCGCCCGGCGCCGCGCTCAGACCGCGGGTGGGTTCAACGGGGTCGGGGGTGGGAGGAGGCGCGCTTGTTTGCATTTCCCTCGGCTACCGCGACCCGAGCCGGAGCGGCAGGGGGTCGGTCCCGAGCGCGCGGGACACCTGTCAGTGGGGGTTCGGCTGGCCGCAGAGGCCGGCAACCTGCGGGGCGTCCGCCTCCCGGAGAGGCTGCTGGAGACTGAACCTCGAAAAAAGTACCGAGGGAGGCGCTCAGCCAGCCTCCCCGACACCCTAAACTTGTCCCAGCGTTTCCCTGCGCCGGATCCCAAGGTAACCAAATTCCAGGCAATTTTCCGGTAAACGAGACCTCTTTCCGGATCTTGCGCGCAACCACCCGCCCCTTCCCGGCCAGGCGCACTCCTCCCCATTCCCCGGCAGGGCAGCCCTGCAGGCGGCTGTGAGACGCCCCTGTTTGGAACCTCCGTCACGCAGAAGCGGCTACTGGAGGACCCCGTGCATACACGGGGCAGCCCCGGAGGGGTGCTGAGGGGTCCGTCAGTCCCGGGCTCTCCGCTGGACAGTCACCCAAAGGGCTGCCTGCGAGGAAGAGGGGTCCGTTGGGAGTCACCAGACTGAACACTTGAACCCAAGAGGCTGCCCCTGTCTCAGGGCGAACTGCCTCCTGCAGGGGGCTCATAGGCCCACTGAGCAGAACCCTGGGGCCCAGCTGTTCAGTGTCTGAGGTCGCCTAGCAGCTCTGACATGGGATGGGGGGCAGAGCGGTCCTCAAAACCGAGTCCAAGCAGCGCAGGGGTCGGCGGGTGTTGCCAACCCTGCGTTCATTCCATGTAGAACCAGCACGTGGGCCTCTGCTGATTTAAAAGCTGCCTCTGCGTGTCCGAGACGGCGCGTGAGTGCTTTGTGCTCTGGTGCCCTTTGCCTCCTGGACTCTGGCTGCACGCCAGTGACCACCTCTGGGAAGCCTGTGCCCGCAAGGCTCTCTGCAGTGGACAGCAAGACAGTCCGGGGTCCCGCTAAGCCCTGGAATGACAGTCGCCCTGGCTGCTGGCAGCTCAGCTCTGCGGCCTCTCCTTCCCACCCCCACCCACCCCCAAAGCACGGCTTCCAGGAGCCTCCACCCACAAGTGGGACTTGAGTCAGAGGGTTTCTTTAGCGCCTCCTTGAACCAACCAAGAGAGATCGGGAGGAAGGGAGAACAGAGGCCTGGCAAAGCTTTTTCACCTGACCCGTCCACCACGCTGCTGTTATCTGGGATTCAGCCTTGAACTTGAGCTGAGCCAGAGAAGGGCCCTGGGAAGGCTGCCACCTGGAGGAGGCCCAGCCCCCCACTGCACCCCCGGATGCTCCTCCTCACAGGCGGCAGAGTCGGGCTCCGGGGACCCACCGCAGGACAAAGCTGCTTCTCTGGGCTGCAGGTCTTCCCTCGGCACCTTCTTGGGGCAAAACCTTCCCTGAGAAATCCAGTCAGCCTCAAGGAGCTTCGGCAGTTTGGGGGGCACAGAGGTCTGGGGAGGCCCCTGGGGACTGAAAGCGACCACATGCCAAAAGCCTGCCTCTTGCTTAGTCTTTGGGGAAGTTCTGTTAGGTGTGTTTTGGTGACCAAGGAGAAAACACATACCCAACTTTTAAACTCCAAACACCCTGGTTCCAGAAGGGCAGAGAGGGCGGGGCGGCACAGTGAGCAGTTCGGGGGGCGGGGGGCACTCGGGCCAGCCAGTCACCTTGGCGTTGCTGCCCAGTGGCTCCCTCTGGTCCTGTCCTGGCAGAGGGATGAGTTTGGGGGAGGTCGGGGGGGGGGGGGGGGGGGAGGAGAAAGGAAACCAAGAGAGCTGACTGTGCGCCCCACACCGACGCCGTTTTGCCAAAACCGTACACTTGGCTTTGTTAAAACGCTGTTCTACTGGGGAAAATGCGATCAGAAAGGTCCGGTGATTTCCCCGGGGGCTGCACAGCTGCCAGGAGCGCCAGCGGCAAACGGGCGGGAGAGGTGCGGTTCTGAGAGGCTTGCTCTTCCCTCCACGGAGTGACTCGCTCCCCCTTGTTGACAAAAACGAGGCGCTGGGTTCAGACTCTTCCGAAAGGCATCTGGGAATAAGGCAGGCACTTGTCAATGGCTCTTATCTCCCTGTTCAGTCCAAGGGGAAAAGAGACTTAAATCTCCTTTAGACCTCGGGAGGGCAGGGCTTGAGGGTGGGGACAGCCCCGGGGGCAGAGCAGGGTGGGACGAGGGCTCACTGGAGGGCAGAGGGCGGGAGGACACGTGCCTCCAGGGAATTCAGAGCCTGCACTGGGCGTGAGTAGTGGGCTGAGCAGGGCAGGAAGCCACTCAAATGCGTGGCTGTGTTTAGAGAGGAGAGGGCGTTTTCCCTAAGAAGCCAGCCTGCAGGCCCCCTGGGGGAGGGGACGGAAGAGACCCTTTAAGCACCCCCGCCCTTTGTTCAGCCCCCCCCCCCCCCCCCCGGGCAGCCCGGGTGTGCCTCCTGCGGAGATGCTGCTCCCAGGCCCGACGCCGGCCTCCCGCTTCGTGCCCACTCCACAGCCTGCGGTCCCGACCGGACGGGAAAGCAGCCAACCCCGGGGGACCCCCCGCCCGGTCCCTGAAGCGGCTTCCCAGGTTCCAGCCCAGAAAGGCTGGGGAAAGCGAAAGAGCTTGCCTCCACCTCAGGGCACGCTGGCCACCATCTTAGTCGAGAAATGGGCCTGTAGGTTCCAGGGGAGCGGACATCCCTTCCCCCACCGCACGACCTTAAAACGCCCCCAAGCCGGTGAGGACGCTGCTGCTGCAGGTCCTGCCTCCACAAACACCCACTGTCTTTGCTGTCCAAGAGGGACGCCCACGGCTTGCTGCCACGACCCTGCTCCCCGTCACGCTTTGATCGTGCGAGCCAGCGACTCCTGGTTTGGGGCTCTCCCCAGGCAGGCTCCCCGCGGTCCAGCGCAGCGTGGCCAGGAAGTCGGGAGTGTTCCCTCCCAATGCCTCCGGTCTGGCTGGACTCTGAGGACCGCTCGCCTGGTTGAGGAGGGGCTTGGGGATGAGGACAGTTGTGCTCCAAGTGCTCCGCTGGCTTCACGAAGCCCTGGATGGCCTGCTGGTGGCAGGATGGTCCTTGCGAGTGTCACTCCTTGTCCTGAAGAGCACAGGTTGGAGTTCCCAGTTGGAGTTGACTGCTCATCTCCATTTCAACCAGAGAGGAAGTGGTAGATTTGATCGGGCAACCCACCCAGCGTAGGGTCTCCAGCCACCCAGATCTCTCCCCCGGGGTCCCTCCGAAAGGCTTGGGTGCTCCCGAGGGGGGGGGGGTGCAGGGCCCCTGGGTGGATACAGCGCACCCCAGAGAAAATCAACTCAGAAAGTTCTACAGGGAAGCCTTTATCCAAGGAGCTGCAGATTGCCGAAATGCGGGCACAAGCTCCCCAACCTCACCTTTCCCGCCGCGGGGGCGAGGGTGGGAGGGGCCTGGGGGAGGGAGGGGCGGAGCCTGGAGGCCCCAGGTCCTGGGACGCCGGGCCCGTTCGTCCCCGGGATAGAGGGCCGCCGCGCAAGGTGCAGCGGAACCCGGTGCCGGCAGCGGTCCCGACGTCCGCGGGGTGCCTACGCGGGAAGCAGGAAGGGATGTCCTTTTTTAAACAAATCAGGGCTTCTGCCTCTTTAAGTTTATTTCTTCAAAGCCTCGGCCAAGGCGAAGTTTCTGGTAATTTATAGATCTGAGCTGGAATTTAATTCCTCTTTACTTAAAATCAAGTGCTGGGGACTCCGGGTGCGGGACCTGGAGGGGGGCGCACGGCCCAGCGCCCGAGCTGAGGGGGCGCGCACTCCGGGGTTCTTGCTAAACTGCATTTTCGGGGGAAAGTGAGGGGCTTCTCTTGGGCTTTCTGAGAGCGACAGGCGGATAAGTTAGGCGAGCCCGAGGTCAGGGGTCTGCGGCCTATTCTGGAGTTCCTTCTAGAGACTTTGGGGGGGATCTAGTTGTCCCCCCCCCGCCCCCCGCGGCCTGAAAAGTAGACACGTGCTGTGGGAGGAAACGCAATGCATTATTCTGGGGTCTCAAAAAAGGCCAAAAGCTTGGACTGGAAGAGGCTTTAGAAATTGTTTCCAAGGATGTAGATCCGTCCCCTACCCCCGCCCCAGGCGCCGGGACAGGTGGGTCTTCCACTCCCGTCTTCTGGGGGCCTGATTTGGCCAAGCCCAGAAACTGGAACCGCCGCTGAGGGCCTCGACGTTGCGTCCCTTTGCAGCCGTCGGCCTGCGGCGCAGGTGAGGGCGCGCGGCTCCGAGCGGCGCGCAGGGGTGCGAGACCCTCTCCGCCGCAGCGCGCGGGCCCGCGGCCTGCAGCTGCGCGCGGATAAGATACGCCAGGACCGCGCTTCCCGCGCTCATCAAGGCTGCGGGAGCCTCCCCGAGCCATCAGCCTTTATAATTGCAACCGTCAATCAGCGCTTCCAGACCGCAGGAACCGCAAGGAGGAGCCCTGGAGACACCCCGCCACCACCGCCCCCGCTTCAGCAAGACCACAGGGCCGAGCGGGCGTGGAGGGCAGAGTTCCCACATCCGCAAGCCGGGGGGGAAGACCCTCAGGTCCAGCACCAGGCCGGTGGGTGTCTGAGCTTGTCCCCACCACGGGGCGGTGTCCCATGGAGAAGCACCTCCTCCCCTTCCTGCTCACCCTCCGGCCTCTGTCGCCTGCACCCATCCCCAGGCATCAAGGCGAGAGGGCGCGGCTCCTCCTCTCCAGCGCGGGGGGCGGGGGGCGGGGGGGTCCTAGGATGCCCAGGCTCATCACAGGACAAGTGGGTCCCCAGATCCAAGAGGCAGAGGGGGGGCGCCCAGCAGAATGGAAGGGTCAAGGGACCGAAGCTGAGGGGTCACACACGGGTGGGGACAGGGTGCTGGTGAGGTAGGCATCACCCCTCCGTGTCTGCTCCAGGGTCGGGGGCCTCACTGCTGGGAGACCCGGAGAAAGTGAGTGTGCCCCCCCCCCAAGAGCCCGCTCCAGTGGAAGACCCCGCCACACCCCCCAATCCAGTGCAGGCGGGGCGCGGGGGGTGGGGTAGAATTCTGAGGTCACCAGGGCATCTGGATGGGACTGGCCTGGTCTGCAAGAGACCCGGACGCCTGCCTGCGGTGCCCCTCGGTTTCGCTGCTCACCGAGCGGGTCATCAGCCTAGACTGGACCTTCAGCGAAAGCCAGAAGCTTGGGACCTCGCCTCCTGACAGGACCAGGCTCTGTTCGAAAGGCCGACCTTCAAAACGCCAACCCCAGCCCCCACTCGCCCCACCACCTCTCCCCTTCAGTGAGGAGATAAAGGGCTGCCAGCCGTCCTTCCGTCAGCAACAGCCCCCCTCTTGGGGGAGGCGCAGCGATGGAGCGCGCACTGGCCTGGCCCTAAATGGCACTCTGGGTCCGTTGTGAACACAGAGTTCTCCTGGGCTGGCTCGCCCGCCTCCTGTCCAGACACAGCACGTGGCCACGGTACCAAGGCTCCGCTTCTCTCTAGTCCTTCTCCCTCCTCCTTCTGCCCCTCCCACCAGCGGGCCCAGGCCACCAGCCTGGTGTTGGGGAGGCGGGCTCAAGGGCCCCCACAGGCGCTTTGATGGCAGCAGAAGGACACTGTCTGCTTTGTACAAAACCTGCTGTCAAAAGTTCACCTGAATCCACAGGCAAAGCCCTGATTGGGGCCCTGAAATTAACTCCTGTTCTGGAATATATATACACATATAAAATTCACAATGATATTCAAAACAACTAGTCATCTCCTATTGCTGAAGACGGATTGACATATCAGGAAAACCTGAGCATCTGACTCATCACTAATTTAATTTTAGCAACGTCAGCCCGCTCCCCTTTGCACCAGATGGACAGTCGTGTCCCCCCCCCCCCGCCACCCACCAAGTTTCAATGTTTCCCCGAAACCCGAGACTGCTACTGAAAACCAAAATTTCAGTAAGGCAGGTTGCGAATACACGCTGAGGAGCAAAGCGACCGGTGGGCGCAGAGAGCCAAGGCCCGCCGCCTGAGCGGCCGCGCGCGGGCGGGCGGGGAGCAGCGTGTCCCCATGGAAGGGAGAGGACACCCGGCGGGGTCGGGCGTGTGTCTCAGTTCCCCACGTACCGCACGGGCCCTTTGAATGTGTGGTCTCCGGACCATTGAAAGAGAAGGCACACGGATCTTTTGAGATTCAAATCCACCCCCTCTTAGGTGGACTCTGGTAAACCACCCGGCCCCCAGCAGACACTAAACAGGAGGCATTTCCCAGGCAGTCAGGAGGCTAGAACACATTGTTTTCCATCTCGTTGGGGTGAGATCCGGAAACTTGTAAGATGTGGCTGGGCTGGTGGCTGAGGAGCTCGCCTAACAGATGGTTCTTGAAAACTTTAAAAAGTGCTGGGCCTCTGGGCCTCCTGCGGCTGGACCCGCCGAAGGAGGACACCAGGACGGGGAAGGAGAGCGTGGAGCGCAGGTCACTGAAACTCAGAAAGCCTGTCGCCAAGACAACCCTGGCTTGGGGAGCTGGGGGTCGGTGGGGGGGGGCGTTTTTAAGTGACTCAAGGAACTGCAACAGAGAAACAGGGGTAGCTGTTCCTCCAGCTTCCGGCGACCGAGTGACCTCTCGGCGACGGCGACGTGGCTGCCCCCTCGGTGAGCCAAGCCGCTCGCCACGCCAGGCGCCAGGGACCCACGCGGGCTGAGCGGCTCTGGGAAGGGAGCCTGGAGACCCTGGCGAGGCGGCCAGCTCTGCTTTGAAAAGCGCAGTCGATCGAATGCAACATCTTTCCCCTTTAGGCTGTTGAATAGTGTGTTTAAGGCCCCCCCTCCGTCCCTCACCCGACGCACACACGAGGGCGCACCCCACACCCCGTCCCTCCTCTCGGCTCCCCCTCCGCTCCCCCTCGGCTCACGGAAATCGCAGCCCCAGCCTTCCAGCCGCCGCAGCTGCATTCAGACAGAGGTCGCCTCTCGCCCGCTGTAAGACCCGGAAGCATCCCCGTCCCCCGCCCCGGGCCAGGGTGCGGTGGGAGGGGGTTAGGCGGGGTGAAGAGGTTGGGGCAGGCGCGGGGACTGGGGCGTGCGCCGCCTCCTCATTGGCTGGCGCCTGGGGTCCGACCCGAGTCCGGAACCCGAGTCCGCGGTCACTGTCATCAGCCTAATCGCGGGCTTCCCGGCCCCCGGCCCCACTTACCTCCCTTCTCCTCCTCGTCCCCTCTGCCCTTCCCGCACCGTCACCCTCGGGGCTGCAAGGGGCTGCTCTGGGACCCGCGGGAGGCGTGAAGGAGGCGGGAGAGCGCGGCTGGAACTTCACACTCCTCACTTGTGACTGCGCGCGCCGGGGAGCAGGGGCCGGGAAGGGGCGGAGAAGAGGGAAGTGCGGCGCGCGCCGGAGACCCCGGCCGATCCTGAGCCCGGCGGCGCACGCAGCGGGGAGTCGCCGAGCCGTCCGGCAGCGGAGACCGCGGCCTCGCCGCGCGGCGGCATCTCTCCCCGGCTGCCCGTGCTGCGCACCGGGAGCTCGGCGCGTCCGGATCCGCGCCCCGGGCAGCTGCGCCCTTGCCGCCGCCGCCGCCGCCGCCGCCACCGCCGCCGCCCTCGCCGAGCCGAATCAGCGCGCCCGGACTCCGCCGGGTCTCGAGCCCTCTGTCTCCTCCTCGCGGCTCGGGGCGGCTCACAGCTGCGGGGCTGGACGGCGCGCGGGGGTCCGGACTCGCAGCCTCGGAGGAGGCGGAGGCGCGCTTCTGCGAGCCGGCGGGCGAGCGGGTTCCCCCGGCGCCCTTCCCTCCTTCCTGCCGGAGCTGAATCTGTGCGGTCGCGTCCAGGTGCGGGGCTTCCTGACGGACACCAAGCCCCTCTCCCCGCCCGCAGCCGCCTTGTCATGCTGCCTAAAGTGGAGACGGAAGCCCTGGGACTGGCTCGATCGCATGGGGACCAGGGGCAGATGCCGGAAAACATGCAAGGTAAGCGGCGCGGCGCTTGGGCTCCCGCGGCCACAGTACCCGGACTCCGCGCGCTTGGTGCGGCCGGGCCGGGCCGCGCGCGCGCGGGCGCCAGGCCCCCTCTCCGGCAGGCATAAAAGTTTCTCGCTCTAGAACCGTGGGCGGGGGAGGGGGGGTATGTTTTTCCAAGGGATGCCTAATTGGCCGCTTCTAATTAAGAAAAGAAGCTTCGAGATCTCTGGCCACACGAGCCGGCGGCTTCAGGCTGAAGGTAGTTGAGAATGGAAAGGAGTGTCTCATTGGAAACCCGGGCAGGTTCTCGGTCACCGAATCGGTGGGGAGGCGACCAGTGCGCTAGTGTGCAGAAGGACCATCTGCTCAGGAAAGGCCCCTGCGGAAAGCGAAGGTGACCGCCTCAAGGCTCGTCTTGGGTTTTAAAAGGCAGGTGGGCACCCCCAAGGCCCAGGTGCGCCCTCTGGGAGCTGGTTCCGGCCCAGGCAAGTTCGGAGGAGCGGGCAGAGCTGAAGACGAAGACTAGCCCCATCCCCACGCTCGGCCCGGGTCCTGCCCAAGGACGGGGGTGGGGTGGGGGGGTGCGTGTAGCCTCGCACCTCGTCGCAGCCCGAGAGTGGGGCACATGGGGGGGGGGTCATGTGTATTTTTTCCTGCTCCTGATCGCTAACAAAAACGGTGGCTCTCGCTGGCTATGTTTTCACCGAATTCCCAAAGAGCGACTCTGGCTTTGGCTGCAAGAAGCCCTTCAGAAGTTTGCGGCGGCAGCGGCCCTGGGCCGCGGAGGGAACAATGAAGGCTCGGAAGAGTTACCGGTCTTCCATACTCGCTACTGCCGGCGCGCAGGGTGTGCGGGCAGGCCAGCCTGTGATCCCAGGGCGCTTCCTGCCGTCCCCGGGAGCGAGCTTGAAAGGGCTGGGAGGTGTGGGGAGCAGAGTTCAGGGCTGGCGCGCTCACTGCCCCGCCGCGCTGGGGGAAAGGGGTGGCGGCCAGAGGGGGCTGGCATGCGGAAGGCCTGGGGTCTCCGCAATCCCGGGGTCTCTCCAACCCTCGAGGAAGGGCTGTGGAAGTCCCCTGGGCCGAGGCCCCTGCGACCAACTTATCGGTTGGCTGCGGAGGGAACCGGGTTGGTCCAAAGAGGCCTTTCCTGGCGGTCCCCGGGGTCCCCGCGCAGTGGTGGCCTGGGGGCGTGGCGCGGAAAAGCCGATCGGGGACCCTGTGCCGCCAGGGAAGCCCTGTCCGGGGACCCTCAGCCACCCGCTGCCGCAAAAGAGGACCCTTTGGGCGACCGTGAGGCCGGCGCGATTTTTGAGTGCAAAAGGGAAGTTTCTACTTCTCATCCTGGCTCGTGTATTTCCGAGGGACGCACGGAGACGCTAGAGTCTGAAGTTTGGGGGGAAAGAGGGGAGGGAAATGCCATTGTAACCTTTTTTTTTTGTAAAGTTTGAGAGGGGCGTTCTTGACACGACCTACCGCCCCAAAGCGGAACGCGCATTTTCCCTGTGCCCCAGGCTGTGTAAAGGGCCGCGGCCACGGGCCGCACGCGGACCCTTGGGCACAGAAGTGCCCGGCAAGGCTTCCTCTAGGCCACGCGGCCCGAGAGGAGCCCCAGCGGAGGAGCCCCTGGGGATGCGGACCCCATACCCGCGCTGCTCTGGTTTCAGCCTGGGTGGCGCGGTGGTCCGACCCGGGGGCCAACCGGCTGCAGAGCGCTGCGCGCCCAACTTCGGGGAACTTCGCCAGCCTCTGGGGCCCCAACTTTCCGAGACCCCAACCTCCCCTCCACTTTCTCAAGATAGGGACTTCTTTGTCCCGACGGATTCCGTTCTCCAAACGCCTACCGGGGTCACAGCACCGGGGAAAGTCTGAAAGACGCCCGGGTGTCGGGCTCCGGCGGCCGTCTCTCAGCACGGCTTCCGTGTTTGAATTTTCCAAGAGGGTCCCCACGCCAGCCCCGGTCTTTTCGGGGTAGGAGCCTCACCGTGGGCTCCAAGTCCCTTGTAAACGGTGCCTCTCCGTGCCCCTTAGAGGCAAAGTAAGGGCTGAATTGGCAGGGACAGGGACATAAAAAATAACAGACTAGGTAAAGTACGCTTTTCTTCCATCCCTAAAACATGCCTCAGACAAGAGTCACGAGTTTGAGGAGCAATGGGACCGCAATCGAATTTCTCCGCCTTCCACCTCCCCAACCCCCAGGTTCTCAAGACCGGGGCACGGCCCCCTTCGGCCGGGACGCAGGCTGGCGCCGCTGCAGGACCGGCGGCGGCTCATTTCCGCACCCGGAGCCCAGCGCCTGGCTCTGCTGAAACACTTTTTCCCGATTGCCCCCAAACTGTGCCTGAGTCCAGGTTAAGCCCCAGCCCGGGGCCCTGATTGTACGGTGCTGGCCGCCTGGCCGCCAAGTTCCACCCCTCCCCACCGCTCCTTCCAGGGCCGGGAAGAATCCTTACGGGGAAAAAAGGAACTTAACAGAGAGAAAGAGCAAGTCATGGGCGAGGAGGCCACTAAAGCGTTAGAGTGGCCCGGTGCTTCGGAGACGGGGGGCGGCTACTTCTCCTTCCTTTTTGGTAAACAAATCAGGAAACTTCTGCTCGGTCACCGGTTCCCCACCCCCCCCACCCCGCCCCCTGCAAATGCCACTGATTAACTTAAAACAAACTGAGTCGGTGTTTGCGCGCCTGTGTCAGGGGGAGGTTGAGCAACTACGAGAGGCGAGTGCGCCCCGAGGGTTCGCTGGACGGTGGCTGAGGGCGCGCGACCTGTGCCGGCCGCGCCGACTCGGAGCCTCGGGAAGGGACCGGACCAGGTACGGTCTGGGGCCCCTCCAGCCGCTGCCCTTTTGCGCGCAGGCGACCCACGGTCGCCGAAGGAAGACGCTCGGCGGGGATGGCAGGCTTCGTCCTGAAGGCGGTTGCCTGACCCGCGCGGTGCGGTCCGCGGCCTCACTCCGGGTTAACTTGATCGCGGCAATCTCGGGGTGTTCGTATTTTGCAGTGACGATCGAAAACGGGGAGTCCAGGCCGGGACCTCAGTGGCTGGGACGAACCTAAACCCCCGGTGTCTCTTTTGCTCGTTTTTTCCGCCCCCTCCTTGCGCCTTCCCTTTTCCTTTTCACAGAAGATTTTCAAACAGGCGGAGATAAGAGTGGCCGGACCCAGAGTCCCGTTCCGATGAGTCCCCCGCATCTGAGCTTCGGGAGCCACGGGCTGGTGGCGCTTGGGGGCTGCTCAGAGCGGGGTCTCCAGGGCGCGATCGGTGGCCCGGCCCAGGGCTTGCAACTCCGTGTGGCCAGCACTGGCCACAAACTTCCTGCCAGAGGCGGGGATGTTGGCTGTGCTTGTTTCTGTCCCTCGGGCAAAGGTGACATTTTTGGGAACTTTAAAGGAAGTTTCAAAGAAATCCGAAGTTGTTACTTAGACCCTTCCTGTTTCTAGTCTGATTGGTTGCTTTGCCGATTCGGTGTTCAGCCGAGGTCCGTGGGTAAAGGCTGAAGGCACTGGGGTTATTTTTAAATTTAAAAGAGTGTGAAGTGCACACTCGTGGTTGCCGAAGAGGTTTCAGTTGCGCTGTGGGGTCGCTCTCTAAAGATCACCTGGGTAGAAGTTTTTGTTTTGCGATTCCCGGGGAGGGGGGGGCGGGTAAGGGGGGCATTTGCCTGCGGCCGCCCTCCTGCGCCGCCGCCGCGGGGGAAGCCGACCCGGGGAACTAACCGGGCTGTGTGTCCCTGTCTCTTCTCTTTCAGTGTCTCAGTTTAAAATGGTGAACTATTCCTACGATGAAGACCTGGAGGAGCTCTGTCCCGTGTGCGGGGACAAGGTGTCTGGGTACCACTACGGGCTGCTCACCTGCGAGAGCTGCAAGGTGTGCTTGCTCAGCGCGACCTTAGGAGGGGGACGCGGCGGACCGAGCAGACCGCCCGCCGGGCTGACTTGCGACGGCTACATGCGGGCTGCCTTTTTCAGACGCACGTTAAAAATGAGAGAGAAGGAGTCGGCCCTAGGGAAATGCTTCTTAGAAATATGTGTCTGATTCAATTCAAAAGGCAAAGACACGTATGCTGTTTAGAAAACTTTGCCAGTCTCACGGCTTTAAAGTGTTTTACCGCAGTGGAGTGATGCAGCTGTAGAGATACTTCTATTTCTAACAGTCCTAAATATTGATTTTGTTTGACTTATATATATTTAAAGCATCGTTGTTCTCGAGAGGGGCCATGACAAAGTGTTTCCCAAATACCTTTTAACTTCAGAGCCTTCTGTGCTGCAGGTTCAAACATTTATTATCCCTAGACATAAAAGTCTAAATCCCCAACTGTACGATTTCATCCTGATTTACTCCAGAAATAATTTTTAAGATTTTTGGAAATTTATATCATAAAAGAGCAAGAAACCAGGTCTTAGTTTATAATAGACTAGTTTTCATAAATATATGACCTATTTAAATGGAAGGAAGCAATATGGGAAATGTACTATATTGTCACTAATATCAGGTAGACATTAAGGGTTTCTCTCAGACTTTTTTTATATATTCCCAGTAAATTTGATACTCGCTGTTTTTCAAGATTCTTGTTTTTAAAGCAGAAAACCCAGCACAATTACTGAAACCACTGCCAGGAAAATGCCTTCATTCTCAGCAACAAAGACCGGTTCGCTGGGCGGCCAGCGGGATGGGCAGACAGACTCCCGCGTCCTGGTGCCGCTGTTATTGTGTCGTTACAAAGCTGCAGCTTTCACTGCTGGTCACTCTCCGAGTGACATCTAAGGAAAGCGGACGCGCAGCGTTAAGCCCCATCTCTGCCATGCTTGCTCTTGCATTAGTTTCACTTTTTTTTTTAAAACAGTTCCCATACTGGACTGCATTCCAGTGGCATTATGAACATTTTCCCATTTTTACTCTTCAAATCCTTCTGCTTTTAGCCACCTCCTGTTGACATTTGTAAAAGAGCTGGGTCGTCCTGCCGGTCGGCTTTGCCACCGGTGGTTTGCAGTGGCCTGCTGCTTGGCGGTGTGTCCGGCTCCGTGAACCGGGCGGCCACCCCACGAGCCAGGACGCGAGGTGGCCGGGGAAGGAGCCCTCGTCCACCCAGGGTGTGGAGCGGAGGCGATGGGTGGCCCAGTCACCCCAGATTTGATGTGACTCTTCAGGAACGGAGCCCTGATGCCAGAGAAGCCAGCGCTAGGCCCTGGCGACCTCCTTAAAACGTAAAACAAACCAGAGACCCACAGAAGGGCCTCGGGTGGTGGGATGAAAAGATTTGCTGGTGATCTCCTCAAAAAGAAACAATGGAAGCGGCGGGTGATAGGTTTATGACACGTCTCACTACTGTCTCTGTCTTACAGGGATTTTTTAAGCGAACAGTCCAAAATAATAAAAGGTACACGTGTATAGAAAACCAGAACTGTCAGATTGACAAAACGCAGAGAAAGCGCTGTCCTTACTGTCGATTCCAAAAATGTCTAAGTGTCGGAATGAAGCTGGAAGGTAAGATTCTTCTAAAGGGGCTGCCTGTTAACTCTCCAAGGACAGGGAATTTAAAGCAACATTGTATCTATAATGTAACGTTATTTTCCTGGTCTCTTAACACCGCTGACAGCAGTGGAACACTTCCAGTTCTGTGGGTAGAAGAGACTGAGTTTCATTTTAACCCTGGTGAAATCAACCAGGGAAAACACTTTAAGGTGGGTTGTGCCCAGGCCCTTGTTTTGTTTGGGGGGTAGCTGCATTTGAGGCTGAAAATAAAAATAGGTAAGATGAAAATAAGACACAAGACAGTCCACGGGGAACAACTAAAAAGTAATCTGCAAAGCCTCCAGTTTTCAAAGCAGAAGGCAGATGCGGGCGTGCAGCCTCAGATGCGCGATTCCTGGTTGAGAGGGAAGGCCTGTCACTGTCAGAAGGGGCCCCTCGTGGAGCCTGTCATTTCGGATAGCGTGGGAAAGCACTTAAAAAAAAATTAGGATAACGGCCGAGCCTGCACAATAAAAAAAGAGGCAAGAAGCAGGAAACGTGAAAAACAGCGGACGGCACGAAAGCCAGCCTTAAACCTGGCGCTGAGAGAGCAGAGCCAGGCCTGCCAGCGAGTGTGCAGGCCGCCGGCCCAAGGCTCCAGCGTGGCACACCGCCCGGGATTGGCAGCTCGCGGGCCGCTGTGGCGGGCGCTGTGCTCCAGGCGCCCACCTGCAGACCCCCCGAGGGCGCGGGCCGCAAACGAGGCAGCCGTGAGCCGGGCACATGCGGGCGCAGGAGGCCCGTGTCTCTCACGGGCGGGGTGCGGAGTTTTCCTGCTGTGTGGAGCCCAGACTGGCCAGCCACGCACGAGCACCCCCAGTGGGTCCGCCGAATGGCTCACAGGGGCCTTCCCACTACCAGTGGCCGCCTTGGTTATCATGCGCGCTGTTAGTCAGGTGACTATGAAGAAGAGGTTGAAAGGAAGTGAGGGGTGCTTATTAATTTGTTGATCCATAATCACTTTTTTTCCAAAAGCCAAATATTGTGGCAGATGCTCAGTATGGTGGGAGAACGAGGAAATAAATTGTCAATAATTAAACGTTGTGATTGCCTAGGATGCCATTGACTTTCTTTAACAAAAGAAAAAGGTTGCATTTCTTTCCGTGAGGAAAAAAAAAAAAAAGGACTTTTTTAGCTGTAAGTCCCTTGCATGTCTATTCATATTTCCTCACCAGTGCAATGGAAAAATTGGCTGTTCGGTAAATTCTCATCCACATGAGCAACTCTATTATCCTGTGTAGAATTCTGGATACCTAGTGTTTGCCATGTATTTTTAATGCTGTACTAATCCTAAGACAAAAAGCTCAAAAACTTAACCTCCAGCCATCTCGACATGTCACAAGCTGTCAGAGGTGGCTGGCTTCTGTCTAATCGCCATTGGCCACTACGGGCTGGAGAGAGGGACCAACCTAATAGACACAGCCCCGGACTCCATGCGCGCAGCGCCGTGACAGGGGACTGTCTGGCAGGTTCTGAAGTAAATTTGCTTTACTTACGTCCAGTTTTGCTAAAATTAAAAACAGTCACCAGATCAGATGATCTGATGTGTGTTCATCAAGTCCAGGTGAAAATCTTTTTTTAAAGAAAAGTGTGTTCCGAACCCCTTTGCAGCAAATTAGCCAACATGACTGAAGGAGGGAGATGTTCTAAGAGAAGGCAGTCACAGTTTCCTCTAGAAATGGGATATTTGATACCTTTTACTCTCAGCAGCTTGGGTTTCTGCAAAGAAAATCAGAGGGTAAGCTGGCGTAGGAGCAACAGATACTCGGGAGGAAACTAATGCCCTTAAGCAACACAAAGTATCCTCTGTGCGAGGCAGCAATTGCGGATCCTCTGCAGTGCGCCCGAGGGCTGCTAGGTCCCTCCTTATCCCCATTTTTTTTTTATGATAAACACCCTTGGAAGGAACAATTCATAAATAACGAGGACAGGGCTTTGGGGGTGGGGAGGGGTCTTTGAGGGCCATGGTAAAGAAAACAGCCACACATACCACTTCTGGCCAGTTTTCAGTATTTCGAAACAGTGGGCCACCTGGGGAACGCTAAGAACTTCTATTTACACCCCAACTTCCCTCTGTCCCCCCAACAGCCGTGAGGGCCGACCGCATGCGCGGAGGAAGGAACAAGTTCGGGCCGATGTACAAGAGAGACAGGGCCCTGAAGCAGCAGAAGAAAGCCCTCATCCGCGCAAACGGACTGAAGCTCGAGGCCGTGTCTCAGGTGATCCAGGCGATGCCGTCCGAGCTGGGCATCTCCTCCGCGATCCAGAGCATCCACTCTGCCTCCAAAGGCCTACCTCTGAACCACGCTGCCTTGCCTCCCACAGACTATGACCGGAGTCCCTTTGTGACCTCCCCCATCAGCATGACCATGCCGCCTCACGGCAGCCTGCAAGGCTACCAGACCTACGGCCACTTCCCCAGCCGGGCCATCAAGTCCGAGTACCCCGACCCCTACACCAGCTCTCCGGAGTCCATCCTGGGCTACTCGTACGTGGACGGCTACCAGACGAGCTCCCCGGCCAGCATCCCGCACCTGATCCTGGAACTTCTGAAGTGCGAGCCGGACGAGCCGCAGGTCCAAGCCAAGATCATGGCCTATTTGCAGCAGGAACAAGCGAACCGGGGCAAACACGAGAAGCTGAGCACCTTCGGGCTCATGTGCAAGATGGCGGATCAGACGCTGTTCTCCATCGTCGAGTGGGCCAGGAGCAGCATCTTCTTCCGGGAGCTGAAGGTAGGTTGCAGCGGTGGCCGCGTGCAGGGCCCGTTCCGGAGGGACCGGCCCTCTTCCTCATTAGCAGGCTCCGGGGCTGAGCGCCCGCGTGTTTCAATGGGCTCCGCCGCCCGCGCCCCCTGTGGGACTTGCAGGGAGGTCCTGAGTTCAGGACCCGCACAGCTTGACTCCGCGGGGCTTCTGCGTGGCTCTTCATGTGTAGGGATGCCATTTAACATAAAGTATGGGAAACAGGTTTTGTTTGGTTTTGGTTTTGTTTCCTGCAAAGCATAAGGTCTTTATGTGGTCCCGCTAACTCAGATGGTTTATGGCTAGATAATTTAAGTCAATGGGAAACAGCACCTAGTGCACTTTAAAAAAAAATTAACCCAGTCAAGAGCTAGCTCAGAGTCGTGTCCTTTCAAAAGGTAAAAAAGAAAGCGCCCTCTGGAGCTGCGGTCAGACCGTCAAGAACGCAGATCCCACCGCGGGGTAGCGGTGTCAAGTCGGTATTTACTACCTGTTTGCCTGGACTTTTGGTTGGTGAAGCCTTTGTTTTTGGAGCAAATTCCACCAGGATGTTTACTGACTTTGCAGGGGGTGGGCCACGGTGAGTGCTGGTCTACTTGGCTCGGGTTTTGGGCCTTATAACCTATGTCTGTCGTTGATTTTAATGGATTGGTACATTGTAAACACAGTCCTTGTTTGCATAAGGATCTCTGTTTAACTGCATAATTATTTTATTTCCTGAAACTTAAGACTGAATTAATATGGGAAAGTGAGATAGATGCTGGGAACCTCGGAGCAGCCACCAAAGCCCGCTAGGCAGCCCCTGATTTCATCCTCTGGTTGAAAAACAAAAGTGAATTCTGGATTTGATTTCTAAGTGCGTCTGTTACAAAAACAAGTCTTCCTTTTGCTGTCACGGCGGGGGCGGGGGGGCGATGTGCCTGCTTAATATTCGTGGCCTCTGACCACCCTGGACAGCCGGGGAGGTTCTTAAATCCACGAGAGGACAACACAAAGCCACTTCCCGGTTAGAGGGCCGCTGGTGAACACTGCCCCGCAGGAGGACGCGGGGCTCCGGAAGCCGCGCGGGAGCGGGGCAGCGCGCGTCCACAGCGGTCCGCGTGAAGCGCGGTAACCGTGCGTGGAATCAAAAGTTTCCTGAACAGGCCCGGGGAGCGTGCCGCGAAGATGGCGGGGGCACGTGGCCATCGGCCCCGGTGCTTTCTCGCGGAGTGGGAGGTGCTGGCGGCCGGACGTTCGGAGGCAGAGGGCTGGCGGGCAGGTTCGGCCGGGCAGTCTGAGGGCTGGGCCGGGACATCCGTCCCCGCATTTTCATCGCAAACAAACTTGTCTGGGGTTCTCACAGCCCCTCTTTCTTTGTCATTAAGAGAACGGGTAAGGCCTTCAAAAATGAAAATGACGATGATTTTAGAGACAACCGGAAGGCAAGGGCGGAGGAAGGCGGCTGTGCAGTCCGCGGGGCTGGCTGTGCGTGTCGCTGCCGGGTGCCTGCGTGTGGGCAGCGTGTCACCTGCTGAAGGCTGGATCTCTCAGCTGTCCGACTGCATGTGGGGCGTTTAGGGGCAGGGGTGTGAGGGGGTAGCGCCGCTGAAGGGTCTGCAAGGAGTAAACGAGGCCCCTGAGCAAAGCACCCCAGCCTGGGGCTGGCCCGCAGGAGACAGCTCAATCCTCGGGAAACCCCTCTTGTTGCTCCCTGGCCAGCACGTGGAGGCTTTGCAAAAGCTGCTCCTGGATTCAGGAAGGAGTGTGCAGGCAACTGCTCTGGCTCTTCCCTGGAGAAACAATGTTGCCGCCTGCGTTTGGAGGAGTGTGCTTGTGTAATAAGCAGTCATCGATGACTGGGGGGGGGGGGGGGGGAGCCTCCAGTTTCCCCGCAGGGAGCGGGGTACAAAAGGAAGGCACAGCCGAGGAAGACAGAATATTGCCCCTCAGAGATGTTAGGGGAGACAGTTTTGTAAATAACTATGAAAAACCATGAAGGCGCTGAAGCTGGGGCTTCTGGGCCCTGGGAGAACGCCCTTTCTCTCCAAAGTTCTCTTTCTCTCCCCTGTCACTGAATTCTATGAGATTCTTTTCTAGGGCATGAGGTTTACTATTTGGCTAAAACATAAATACCTCTGGGAGCGGGCATATTAAAGCAGCATTAATCATTTATACGGCTGTGTGATGCACGCATCAGCCTCTTGTGAGAATGTGCTTTGAAAAGGCAAAAGGAAGTCCGAACCCCTGGGGGCCTCTCGGGGGTGGGGGGCGGGGCCCCCTGAAACACAGGCCAACTGGGCCTCGTCTGCCTTGGGCTTACGTGGAAAAGGAGGGATTCAGCTGCAGCGTTTTTCAGAGGAGGAAGCGTAGAATTCAGAATAACCGAGAAACAGTTAAATACAGAGCTGTGAGGTGACTCTCCTGTTTGGAAGGATTCCTTTTCCTTTTGTTTATGGAGTTACTTTGTCAAAAGGCAGAGCGAGGCGTTTGGAGCTGGCACGGAGACACGGGTATGGCACATGTTTCTCCAAGGCCGGGGCTTTCAAATGTTTTTAACTACGACCCGTGGTAGGAAGTACGTTTGGCGCCAGAATTTGGTGAGCAGAGCACGCCCCCCGCCCCCCACACAGAGAACCTAGGTTTCACTAGACCGTTTGAGACCTGTGCTTTGTACTTTGTACTTTTCTCTGTGCTTTGGTACTTTCTATTATATTCTGCTTTAGTTCCATTTATTTCAGATGCTTAAAAAATTTCTGGTCCTAACCCACTAAACGGATTTGACTTTGACGTCACACGAAGGAGGCAGCCCAGGAAGGCCTGCTCCGCGCGAGGCGTGGTGGGCGTGGCCCGCCTGCCGGCTCGAGAGCTGCACCCGAAAACAGCCTCTTCCTCCTGGCGTGGCCTCCGTGCCTCCCCCCCGCCCCAGCCCCCGCCCCGGCCCACGGCCCAGGCCCCAGCCTACGGGCCTGCAAAAGTTGTGATCTTCAAATGTCATAAAGAAAGATGAATACTTCCCTTTAAACATTTCTTTTTCTTTCCACTTCACAGCAAATTAGCCATCAAGAGATAAACGTCCAGAGCAGATTGCTTATGACTGTACCACCCACCCCAAGATGAAAAGCCGCCTCTCGGCTCCCGGGGAGTAATAGGGTAATGAGGCAATTTTGCAAATGACCCCTTGCTCCCTTTCCCGGACCCTCTGCCTTGTAGGCGAGAGAATCCAGAGTTCATTTGTTTGCTATTTAAGGGGACAGGGGTCCGGGAGGAATTTGGTGGGTTGTTTTGTATTCCCTCATGTTTGCAGGGCACAAAAAAAGATACTCTGGTTTCTGTCCGAAATCTTGGAATGAGAAGGGGGAAGCCATTGCCCCCAACCTTGCCGCTCGTGACACGTTTAGCGCATACGCAGAAGGGAAACGGAGAGCATGCGCACAGACCACCGCATTTCAGAGCCGGGGGCAATCCGGGAGCGGGGGCGGGGCCGGTCGGCGCCCCCGGCCAGGGCACAGGGGCACAGGGCTCGCGCAACTCCTGGCCGAGGAAACACGGGTGTTCCGGGCCAGGGGAGGTGTGGGGAGATGCTGGGGCCCTGCCTCCTTCTTTCCTTTAGCAGAAACTGAGGCAGGAAGGGGACTGTGATGTGCCCAGTATTGTGCAGGTCAAAGGGGCAGCACTTTTATGAGCCGCTTCCTCCCACGGTTACCCTGCCTAGAGCTCACACGCGTGCACACACGCACGCATGGCATTCCCTTGGACTGCAAGCGTGCGCCCCTCTGCCAGGGGCGCTAACGCAGATCTCTGGGTTATCAGGAGTCGGTCACCAGCATCATCGATGACGAAGTCACTAGCAGTCGGCAGGACAGGTTTTCCCGGAGCCCAGGCAACCCCTGCGGAGTGCGGGAGTTGCTGCAGAAGACACCGTAACTCTTCCAGGCCGTCCGGGAACCGTTCGGAGACTGGGCCTCCCGCCAGGCCCGGAGCCGCGACCCCCCGGAGGTTTCCACACCTCACTGCCCCGGGGACCGCTGGTTTCCCGGGAGGGTCTGGCTCAGGAGGCCCCGGGTGAGGATTCCCGTGCGTTTGTGGAAATAGGCAGAAAGAGACCGCCGGACTGGGACCCGGTGGCGGGTGAGCCGCGAGTCGCAGAGATAGGAGGAACGATTTGCTGGTCGTACTGAACGTGGTGCCTGACGTTCAGCGCACCTGCTCCTCTTAAACCCAGTCTGTCTTGCTGCAGCGCGTGCTCTTGACCTCTTCCGTGGGGCTTTTTTTGCGGGGGGGAATGAAGAGCAACTTCCAGAGCCGCCGCCCCCCAGCCCCCCCGAGAGAGCTGTCTCTGAGTCCGGAAGCTGCTGCTGCTCTGCCTGCGCTTTCACTCTCCTCTGGGCCCTGAATCCGCCCCCTCCCCCGCCCCCCAAACACACTGTTGACCACTAATGAACCTGCAGCATCTATTTGATCTTCTAATGAGACCAGATGTCCTAAGAGGGTTCTGGGAACCGGGCGAGGAGAACTTCCCCCCGACGAATGAGTCTGATACATGGAGGAATAAGAAAACTGAAATTAATCCTGTCTGAAACACAGAACTCGCATTTCTGTGGAAAATAGGCCTCGCAGACTCGAGGAGGCTGCCCAAGGAATCCAGATGCGCCGAGGCCGCTTCCCCAGCGCAGCTCTGTCTAAAGTCAGGAGCCGGGGGAGGAGGGAGGAATCCCATTTTTCTCGTCTGTTAGAGCAGCGTCCTGAGCAGAATTTCTTTTTCATTTTTCTTTTTTGGAGATCTCTTTTCCAAGCTGTAGTCCCTTTGCCAACCGACACAGGCCTCAGGCCGAGGTCTCACGGCTCTGCCCCGAACGGCACGCAGTGTTCGGTAGTCACCTTAGCACTTCCTCCCTGTGCGTAGGGCGGGGGTGGGCGCGGGCGCGGGGGTCTGCGCGATGCCCCCCCCCCTCACGTGGCCCTGCCCACCTGCCTTGGCCTGTGAACGGAGGCCCGGCGTCCGGAGTCCA